TTGGGCATAGGTTATAAGGAAAACATCAATAATTCTAAACACTCAAAAAATTTACAGTAAATAATAATCTGCCTAGACGCTACATGATGTGGAATGATTAATCAAGGCAGGTTAGAGAAAAACTCTATCCACTTGGAAAGGATGAAAGGCTGTCCTACATTGCTAATGAATCAGAAAAAGTATTAAAAATATGACTGCAAATATTGGAGGAATTCACCAAAGCGAGAACTCAATATATAAAAACTTAACAGAATGCTGCTAAAGCTATGATTTTGGGCTGAAAAATATGTGATATAAGAATTATTCCTGGAGGTAGGGGGAACCAATCACAATGATCTACCTATAACCCCTTCCCAGGGGGGATAGACAACAGAAAAGTGGGTGAAGGGAGGCATCGGTCCATGTAAGACATGAAAAAATAATTTATAAATTATCAAGGGTTCATGAGGGAGGGAGGGTGGAGAAGGAGGGAAAAAATGAGAAGCTGATAGTAAAGGCTCAAGTATCACAACCCATGCATCCATCCGTTGTGTCATGCACATTTGTACATTTGTTAGGAGTTGTACGAGCCCCCAATAAAATGATTGTTTGGGGTCTTTTTTTAAGGTCAGAAAATAATTCATTACAATGGAAAAAACAGTGTCATTGATAAATAAGCTCAGGAAGCCCGAGCTGCATCGAAGGCACTGGAGAAAACTAAGGCTCCGGGAATTTCCAAAACAGCAGTTTGAGAAGTTCCGACAAACAAATGCAACATTGGAAGTGCTCGTTCATGCTTTGCAAGAAATTTGGAAGACGGCTAGCTGGCCCACCAACTGGAAGAGAAGCACACAGGTGACCATTCCGAAGAAAGATTCAACAAGATGTAGAAGTTATCAAGCAAGGGGAGCCCAAACCCACTGCCAATCCCAACTCACAGAGACCCCATAAGCCCACTCACTGCCGCCCGGTCAATGCCGACTCCTAGCCTCGGTGGGTGTCAGAAAATGCTGCAGGGGGGTTTCAAAGTGCCAACCTTGCAGATCGCAGCCCCGTGCAAAACCAGTACACCACCAGGGCTCTTCTGACATCAGAGGTTCTAAACCTTGAAAGCCTCATCTTTCACTTGCAGGCTGGCCGGTGGGTGTGAACCAGGGACCTTTTGGATAGCAGCCTATCACTGACCAGACAGCATCAACAATACAGCAGCTCGCTGCCATCAAGTCACTGCTGACTCAGCGACCCCGCGTGGCTTTCCGAGACTCTTAACTGTTGACGGGAGTAGGGAACCCAGTCTTTCTCCCAAGGAGCCGCTGGTGGTTTCGAACTGCTGACCATTCAGATCACAGCCCAACGTGTAACCACGGCACCGCCAAGGCTCCTCAACAACACAAAGAGGCTTCAAAAAGTGCCTGGAAAATGGAATTAACTGAGTTTTTCCACAAAGTATTTGAAATCCTCTCTATAATGAATATCACACACAGGTACCATTGACTGAAGATAACTTGAAAACAGAACTGCTGGAAATGGGAGCCAGACTCAGAGGGGCTATGGAATGAGGACTATCGGTGTTGCGTCAGATGGCTCTCGGCTGAAAGCAGAGGAGACCAGCAAGATGTTTACTGGTGATTTAGTGACCACGCTAAGGCCCGCCCCTGCGTGGGGCATCACAAATGATGGATGGCTTTGCAGTGGATGGGTCCCTGGAGAAGGGCACCCTGCTCTGTAAGGAGGGACTGGGGACAAGCAGAAGACCTTCAGACAAGGGGAACTCATGTGGTGGAGGCGCCTGGGCTCCAACCGAGGGACCCTGTGAGGATGGGGCCAGACCGGGCAGTGTTTCAGCGTGTTGGACATGGGCTCACTGTGGGTCAGAACCAGCTTCACAGCACCGACTACCACCACACTCGGCCGATTGTCTAAGAACAGAGGCACTTCAGTTGGGCTCCGTGGGGACCCACATCCAGTCAGTAGCCATCTTAACACGCCAGGTGCCCCTGCAGGGGCCCTTGTGGGGTCGGAAAGAACCAAAGAAGGAAAAAGGTCATTCCCTCAGAGAAAAGTCCGAGAAATCATCGCCAGGGCATTCGTAAGGTTCCGGCTGCACTACTAACCTAAGGTCGGGGGTTCAATCGCACCCCTGAGCACTGAGATCCACCTCCATGAATGAGGGCAGACACATGGACCACCCCAGAACAGGTCTGCTCTCTGACAGTGGAGGGTCATGGTTCCTCCCAGCAAAGCTGGGCTGCGGGAGTGAGGAGGGCTTGTGAAACCTCCGGTCAACTTCAAAATGCCACTTGGTGAGGAATTTCAGTCTCCTGAGTCGTTTCTGGAAATGCGGAGCAGAGGCCTCCCAACACCTCCCAGAACGGATGCCTGAGCCTAGGGGTCTGTTCTTGGCACCCTGCTCATACCCCCAATGAACACCGGAGATTCTGAGCAAAGCCTCCTGAGAGGGCGGGGAAGGCTGGGCCTCTCCTTCCCAGTCTGCTCTTCTTCCAGGTCTCCAGGGCTCTGCAGGTTCTGGTGGAGAGATCAGGCCCTTCCCGACTCCATTCCCAGCATCTGCACCCCACACCCACGCAGCCTTTGGCCAAGTGACTGAAGGCCAAGAGCTCCATGGGGCTCTGCCAGTCTGTCCAGACCTCAGTGAGTGGCCCCTGTCCCTAAGAGGCTCAGCTCCACTGGCCATCTAACATCTCCCAGCTGCTCCACCGGACCCAGTGCCCCGAGGCCGGCCCGGGCACTCATGCAAAGAAGAATGCTAACACATGAGACAAGAGGGGGGAACGCCACCCACCAAGGACTGGCCGCCTCACTTTCCTCGTCTCCTAATAAGCTAGAGCATCTGCCAGGTGGAAGGCGAGCTCTGGCTACCTCCCCAGGCCGGCACCCAGCCCCCACCTCTCTCTTTGGGAGCAGTGACTGGGCCACCAGGCCTGATGGCCTGAGCCATGACACTTGGAATCACACTTGCCCGGCCATCTGGGCCACTGTACGATGCATGGTGTAACGTTGAGGAAGGGGGTGCCGGAGGGGCTTCAGCAGATGTCTCAGCTAGGCGCACAGCTGGTCGCCCGTCTATTCTGGAAACATTTTCTGTCTCTCCTTTTTTTAATGTTTTCTTTTTAATTATCTTTTGAATCAGGGGGTTGGTGTACCCAGGATGCAGTGGGGCACTCTGCTCTACTCTCCACGATGGACTGAGTCTTAGTGGTCCCGGCGTTCTTCCCAACTCTCACCCAGCAGCCCTCAGGCCTGGACCTGGTTGGCCAGGGATGGAGGCAATTCAAGTGACCACTGTACCTGCCCACTCGGGCACGGCTTCCAGGTGATTTTGCCCTGGGCAGGACTGGAAGTCCAGGGCCGCCTGTCAGACATGGCCATTAGCAGAGTGGACACCTCCCATGCAGCTGGGCCCCACTGTAAGGGACCAGACGGCCCAGGACTGATGGGTTATAAAGGCTCCTAGGACTGTAACCACAAAATACCTTTGAGAAAATCAGAGATTATCTCCTCTCCACCTGCCCGCGCCCCCCTTCAGTATCCAAGGAAACCGAAATCAGCACCATCAGGTGTCCTGGCGACAAGGTCTGTCCCCCACAGAGGAGACATTCTGGTGGGATTTCATCTCTGAGCATTTCACCACCCCCACCCCACCCTGGCACTGCGAGGTTCCATCTGGCCACAACTGCCTGTGGCTGGCCAGGGCCGGGTGCTACCCGCCCCCCCAGATTCCCAATGGCCACCCTGGAGGGGAGGTTAGGAGGGATGTGACGGCCAAATAGGGGGGGCTCCTTACCATCCAGCTCCTCCACCGAGATGTTAGCAAGCTGTTCGCTGTCGCTACCCGCAGACAGAGAGCGGTTGAGGTAATTCCCCTTGTACAGCAGGCCGGCGGTCACGTGGTGGAACGGCATCTTCTCCCTGGCCACAGAGAAAGACCCCATCACGTCCCCATTCTGCTTCTGGGACAGCTACGCACCAAACAGCGGTTGTGCTGGAGGGTGGGTCAGAGGGTCAGAGGAGGTCCCCATGGCCCAAGCAATTCCCCAGAGACAGTGCCTTCACTTCCAGCCCTTCCTGCACACCCCACCACCGCCACCACCATGACCACCACCCCCTCAGCCCGCCTCCCCGCCACACCTTTGATTCACTGGGCTGGGGTGGGGTGGGGTAGGAGGTGGGAGAACAGGCTTGGATGCTCTCAGTTAATGCGCCTGGTGGGCACCCACCACCCAGCTCTGCGTGGAGGACGGCGTGTGGCTGTGCTGGGCACTGAGCAGGCCTCAGAGGAGCTTCCAGGCTGAGACAGACGAGGAAGCAGGGTCTGGTGACAGCCCCCACTCACAACAGCCCGACCCCACCCAAGTCGCAGGGAAGGACCAGGACCAGGTGGCTGTGTTTCCTTCCATCGTGGCTGGGGGCCACCGTGGGCTGGGAGCCGCCATGGGCTGGGGCTGACCCACAGCAGTCAACAACATGGAAGGAGAATGAGAGATGGAGTAAAGGCCCCGCTGGTCCCCTCCCTCCCCACAGTCCTGTCCCAACTTCCAGTTCCTCTTGGCAAAAAAAAAAGGGGGCCATCAGGATTCAGAAAGCTCTGGGCACCACTGGGACCCACAGGCAGGAAAGATGGCACGCCCTCTGCCCTCACACACAGCCACCCTACAGAGCAGGGCAGTCCCTCTCAGCGAGACTCCACATCTGTACCGGAGCAGACCGCCTTGTCTTCTCCGAGAAGCAGCTGCTGGGTTTGAACCATCGACCTGGCTATTAGCAGCCCGATGCTTAGCTCACAGCATCAGCAGGCCTCCTCAGCAGGAAGGACGGCAGGGCATCAAATCGTGGTTCCCCATCGAGCTCTCTGAGGTAAGCTGGGCAGGACTGAAGGGAGCCATCTTTCCACCACTGGAGCCCTTCAAACCCAGGGTGGCGGTACCCGCCCCTCCCCTTCCTCGTCTCAAATATCCACCATGTTCCATGTGGGTGGCTTGTAGACTCCCTCCTGCACTAAAGCCTGAGTCCACATGGTGACCTGGAAGGTGGTGGGCACCCCCTGCAGCTCCCCACCCCACCCCGCAGCTCCCCCAGAGGCAAGGTGCAAATTTACAGGAGAAGCAGCCAGCAGGATACCTGCGCCTGCAGGCTCCATCCAGGCCCTTGGACCACACTCCTCAGAAAGACCCAGAAGCAGGGGAACGACCCAGTCATGGAGTGGTGGGGCTGGAGGGTGCTGCTGGGGGGAGGAGTGCTTGATTTCCCTGTGACCCCACCTGGTGACCCCTCCTCTCTCTCCCTTGACTCTCAAGCCCAACAGGTGTCCTCATGGGGGCCAAGAGCTACTGCAATGGACCCTTGAAAGCTTCCGAAGGGGCTTGGCGGAGCACCCAGAGGGTGAGACCCTCAGCCACTCCAGAGACGGCACCAGCCATTCCCACCGGGATGTCAAAATCTCATCCCCAACGCAAGATGTCTGAAAGGAATTCATTATCTTCCCAGAAAATAGGCCACAGTCGCTGATTTCTCCCTCAAAGGTACTTTTCCCTCAGCAGAGCCATGGGGACAAGGCTCACAGGCACTCCGGCCCCCCAAAGAGTGAAGCAGACACACGACTGCGTCAGAGCCAGCTGCCACCTTCTGAATCACCTAGACGCCTTCCCTGGGAGCAAAAGGCATACCTGCAGCCCTACCCCCACCCCCACCCCCCATGGCCATGATGCAAACCACAAAGCACATACCCGCATGTTCTCCAAGTACAAGGGGCAGAGCTTCTGCCCAGTCGGGTCTATCCATCTACCCAACTAGTCTGCAAGCACCCTTCTTGGGGAGTCTCCGCCCCCCGCCCCCCACCACCCATCTGCCAGTCTGTCTGACTGCAGCGTCCTTTACTGGAAGCGCGGCCACCAGCGCCTCAAGGCCAGAAGGGTCATCCCTCCCTCCCGTGTGTAAGCGGAGCTTCCAGGCTGAGAAAGGGCTAGTGATGTACTTCTGGAAATCAGCCCATGAACACGTTAGGGATCACAACAGGGCACCCCCGGCCGGCTGGCTCTGGGCAGGTCAGTAGGCACGGCTCTGTCACTGGGGAGCGTTCTGTTGAGTGGCACGGCCCACCGCCAAGCGTGAGGATGACACAGAATTGAGCAACATCTCCTTGTGTCGTTCGGACCGTCACTAGGAGTAGGTGTTGGCTCCTCCCCAGCAGCCTACCTCCTTATCTTGTCTGCAAGCCTGTGTTCTGACCTCAGAGGTGACTGGTGAGCATCAGCACCATCAACCGGGACCTCATTTTCCTTCAAGCAGCCCAGCTTTCTCGGGGCCTGTGCTTTGGTGACTGGCACACAGGTTGCCCCGCCTGGTCCAAGACAGAGAGTTGGGACCGTGTTGAGCTCCCCCAGCAATAGCTCTGGTACCCAGCTCAACCCACAGGCTTTTCCTCCATGAGGAAGGCAGCCACATCACAGAATCACCTGCAGGCTGACCCAGTCAGGTCAGTACCTGAGCTCAAAGCATGCCTTCCCATTTACCCTAGAAAGTAAACTCACAGCTCCAGTTTCCCAGTGATTTATAAATAGCTTCTCGTTCTACCTTTCTGGGTCCCTGGGTGGCTGCTGAGCAACAGGTTAGAGGTTCGGATCTACGCCGTGGTGCCTCGGAAGAGAGGCCTGGTGATCTTCGGCAAAATCAGCCACCGAGATGCCTGTGGTGGTCAGCTCTTCTCCGACTCATATGGGATTTTGTCACCAGGAGTCAGAATGGACTTTGATCCCCTTCCACTGAATTATCCACCTTTTTTGTGATGATGTCACTCGAACAAGCATCCAGTCCACCGGAGACCAGGCCAGTGCTCCCCCACCCCAAGTCCAGTCTCCAAACAAGCGCAGAGAAGACTGGTTACAACCGAATCCCACTTGAGACACCAATTCTCCTTTGCTGCCAACGCAGGCCGCTTGCAAAATTAGGTGCCCATTCAACCCAGCTTCTGCAACCCAAAAAAAGCTCCAGGCTTTGTGGGGAAGTAAACACGTGCAGGGGATCCGTCCGTGTAGATAAATAAAGGCTTGTTGGAGAAAGGCAAGCACTAAAAACAGCCGCTGCAATTAGGACTGCATCTCACTCCCAGGCATCTGGGGAAATCCGAACTCCGTTAACACGGGGAAATACATCTGTGTATCTGCAAAGGCTAACCTTGACCAGAAGCTAAAATTTGCAGAGCGTTTTCAGATGGCCCAGGAGCAAAAACAGGGAGGTTTTCAACTGCAATCTGACCTGATGAGAAAAAGTGATTCGAGACTGTCTCC